TTTTTTTTCTTAAAAGTACGTAGGGAATTCTAGGATCCTTCAAAACTGCTACCTGAAAATGGCACCACTTATTTCAGTAACCTGCAGCTAATTAGTAGGTATTATTAAATAATTATTATTACCTTTTTCAGATGGGAGAAAACCTGTTATATATATATATATGCTGTGATTTTCCTCTTAAAGGTTTTTTCACATTAAAAAAAAAAAAAGGATTCACGTTTGCACATGTTTAGAATCTAGGCAGTTGACAGAATGTAATTCTCGAGGTTATTTGGTGTGACCAGCATAAGATAAACTGAGCACTAGCGTTGGAAGTGACTCATCTTGTGCCCAATTGCATCTCCGCAGGACTAGAGCTATAGATAATTGTACCCAATCCCCACCACTGCAAAGCTGTCTACCGTGAGTTTATCAAGATTGAAATTTCTGGTACTTGGTGGCTTTCGGTGTTGTTCAGAGGTTAGGAAGATAGTGGCCCCTAACTTAAGATCTTGCTGGGTTCTGATATGATGCTCTTGCAAAGGAGAAACATGCTCCTGACAACAGTCCTTTGTATGCACCATAACTGAGAAACTGCTCGTTGTATGAGGATGTTTCTGTGCAAAATTACCAGTTTGGTAGTTTGTGTTGCACTGAGCTACACAGAAGAAACATTTTTATTGTTAAAAGATTCTTTTGTAGCCTACAGCATTGTGCATATAACCACAAAAGAGGTTTTAACATGTTTCTTTTGGTTTTATATTCCATCTGGCACAGCAAGTATGATAAAACCACACTAAAACGTGCATGCTTCCTTTAAGCCCGTCTTTCAGGTATGCTTGCCTGAATTAACTCTAAACAAAGGGTGGAAAGTAAAATATTCTACCTATGCCTATCTAAAAGTGGAAGTGAAAAAATCAGTATGATAATTAGACATCCTCTCTCTACCATCTTCTCATCCTCATCTAACTCATGCTGTTTGTGTGTTAGGAGTCTTCAAGAGCTAATGTGCAGCTGTACTCAAACAGTAAGCACGTACTTTGCAAACTTTTTTTGTTGTACTGCAAGGAATACAGATACCAAGTACTTTCCAGAATAAATGGAACCTTAGAATAGCTCCCCACTCTTTTTAACAAAGACATGGCCATCAGAGAGATGTATTGTGGAGTGTACTAGTGCTGTTGTTACTGTCCAGCTCTGTCTCTAGTTTACTTCAGACTTCCCCGTTGAGGAAACAGAACCTTCAGTGCCGTGGGAGTTGAGGCAGTGTGGAGTCTATGTGGCTTCTTGAAGGCCATGGGAATTAGATAATTGTCTTATGATTTTGGTCCTGTGTAGAAAATAATTCCCAAAACACTAAAATAGCTTTAAGATATGCCAATTCTTAGGAAATAGATGAGTACTTTTATTTATTGTTAATAATTGCAACTGTTTGTAAAGAAAAAAATGTTTAGAACTGTTGATTTGGATATTTTTAATTAAAAATTTGTTGCCTTTATTTGGAAGACAACTGTTTTTGGTTTGCCTCTGCCTTTCTACCTGGAAAGGGTTCAGAAAAGACTCCTAAATAATTAAACAGAAAACAGTATAAAACGAGTCTTTGAAGTCTAGAAGCACATTTAGATGGTGAAGAGTTATGAGGGAAACCCAAGTAGATGTTGCTCAGAGAAAGAACTGAGAAATCTAGGAAAACGGCTAGGGATGAACGCCGTCTGCTGTGCAGGAGCTGACCTGGCTGCATGGCAATTCCTTTTGTAAAGGCTTTTCTTTTAACAGTGGTAGGATGGGTTGTGTCTAGGCCTTAAAGGGATCACTTCACAAAGATCCATCTTCACACCACCGCCAGCTTTAACCAGCATTACTTCTCCCCGAGTGGAAATTTGCTGAGGCAAAGTCCTGTGTGCTGCTCAGCCAGCGGGAAGAGACACGAATACCTTAGCAGCTGCATCAGGCTTTGGCTGGCCTTAATGTTGTTAATTGGCTAGGCAGTGTGTATCTCCTCCTTTGATAAGGATAATGAGGAATGAGTTCTACTGTGTGGGGGATCAAAATAATGCTTGTGGTTATATTTTGGCTTTGTATAAACTGCAGTTAGAAATATGCATTTCTGCAGAGCCATCTGTGCCTTTTTGTTATCCTTCTGCAGACTTGGTAGGAGAAAGTGGACTTTTAAAAAATCTTCTGTTAGAAAAACTGTGCTGAAGAGTAAAATTTTGTAGACTGGGTGAAACATATCTGTTTTGGTCTCGATTTTACCAGTTTCATAGCTCTTAAAGTACAACATCAAAAGCAACTTTATTTTTGAAGCGACTGTTCTGACAACAATTAACTGTTTCATTTTAGTTTTCTCCCATCTGTTCTTCTTAATTAGAACGTACAGCAGCACTGAAACCGAGGGACAGCTTTTGAATTCCTTTGTCCAGTATTTTGGTGACAGCCTTGGGAGGAAGATTAAAAGAATGCCTTTAATTGAAGAAACTGTTCTGCCTGGAGACTCCCTCCTTACTCTGCCTGTAGTAATAATAGGTGAGTTTTTTTCACTTTTTTAAAGATTCTCTGTCACTACCATTGGCTTTAGACCTGCTGCATGCAATAATTTATCATTAAATAAGTAATGCTGAGCATCCTTACAGTGAAGATGTTTGTTAGAGTAATACAGTTGTGATTAACAACAATATTAAGGGACTTGTGGGAGTATATTTGAATTCAAATTGTGCTTTGACAAGATGAACTGTGTTATTTGGCAGCACATATGGGAGTCTTAATGGAAGAACTCTACTGATTCTAGGGTTTGATTAATGTGATATATCTACTTCAGGATGCCTGGAGGTTGTTGATGGTACACTGCTAGAAATTTTTGGGGTCGTGGGACAGTGAAAAGCATAATGTGAAGTGTGTGCTGTGTGTTGGTCAGGTGCTACCTTCTCATTAATTGTCTTTTTCTCTGTTTTATCAATCACTAATGTCTAAATATTTCCCCATCTTTTCCAAAATGAATCTGAGTCAACTCAGCCAGTTTAAAACAATAAATTGTAGTCTTGATTAAACACTTAAAGGCTAGTACTTGTAAAATGTTGCTGAATGACAGGATAGCAGAGGGAGCAGACTCCATAGGTACATAGCTTAATTCAGGGTGCCAGGGTGATGTGTATTGGACCAAGGTTTTTCAGCAACAGCTGGTCACTAGCTCCTTATCACCGTGACTTCATGAGGGGATAAAGAAAAGATCTGGAGTAAAGAAGGTTTTCAGTAATCTAGTCCAAAGCTGTTGGGACTAGAGCAAGGACCGGACCTGCAAACAATCAGAGATTGTGGAGATTGATATTTCAGCATAATCGTGTTCACAGTAAGTTTCCACAACTTTGAAAGACTGATGTTTGTACAATGCCTGTTCTCAAAGCTCTCTTCATGATAGTTTAAAATAGACTTAAGTGGATGTGACAGACGTGAATCACTTGATAAGTTCTGCATCACAGTTGAAGAGCAGCGGTTTCCTGGCATTTTGTCAGCCCTAGTATAGGTTTGCCATATGGTTAATGACTCAGTTTTCACTGTTTAGGTTTGCAAATCTGCTTTATGCAAATACCTGTGCTTAACATTTGTTTTGTCTAGAGTGCCTTGCAAGGTGCTGACACCAAACACAGCTGCCTATTTCTTCTTGAAAAACAAATACATTGCCCCAATGCTTTTTCACAGTTATATTTGAACCACTTCACAAGCTGATCTTCTCCATTGGCAGCCTGTTATCACTAATTCATTGTCTCACCAAAGAGCTTTCATAGGGATATAAAAATGATTTGATAATGTAGTAGAAGAGAATGAAAATAGAGTTGTCATGCCCCCCCATATACAAACACACTGTGTAGTGGTTTAATAACTTCTGTGCAGTACCTGTCTCTCGGGAACAAATGGTCCATTCCTTTTGAATGAGTTGAGGTTGAAAAATTTCATGCTGGAGCTGTAAGTTTGGAGCAAGTTCTGCAGCTGAACCTTTATTTTTTGTGTTTGTGACAGCGTATCCTCCAGGAAATTTCTTTACCTTGGACACAGTCTACTCAAAGAATAGGAACTGGGTTTGGATCAGCTCTCTGGATGGTCCCATGGAAGTTGCTAGGGAGCTCAGTGACAGTAATTCACCTTAACATAATCCCACCCTCAATAATTTCCTTGTCTTTTGCTAACCTTTGTTTTTGCAACCTTTGTTGTCTGTTTGGTTCTTTTTAGTCTTCTCCAGTAGAAATAATCTTTAGCATGACATGCTTGGATATGGAACACATTTTTCCATTGTGGACTAGCTTTGTTTATGCCCCAGTATGAAAAAAAAAAAAGCTAGCTATGCACTTGTAAAAATATAGAAAATTCTTTACTGTGCACAAGTTTATAAATCTAAAAACAGTTAAGAATTTACTCAGTCATGGGAATGCTTCTGGACTATTTGTGTGATTACAGTGTGTTCATAATTTCATATGATTTTATTATGGATGGTTTCACTGTATTGCTAAGGTTCTCTCACTTCCATCTCATGTGGCAAGTGGGTGACAGGAGGGGCTTGTATCAGCTGTAAGCTTTAAATTCCTGAACTGAAGCATATCCAGCGGATCTTTTTGTGGGAGGGCAGAACAGTGTGAAAGTAAGCAAGACCTTTTTCACTGTCTTTAGATTCTTTATTGGCTTTTTTGTAAATAGCAAAATAGAAATTTAAGTGGTTTGGGAAATAATATAGGCAGGATCATCAATATTTAAACCTTCTGTTACAGACTTTTGATTTAATTATCGTATAGTATCCAATGATGGAAATCGACAGCTTTCCTAAACAGTCTTTTTCCAGTGCTTTATGGCCTTTGTAGTAAACAGGCACTCTAATGCTTTTATTTTTGGCTCCATGTTTGGATACAAAAACTAAATTGTTTGATAGGAGCCACTGTGCACTCTCACATGCTCACTTGGATTCTAGGCCTTTGCAGAAAACGTGCTTACGGAAGATTTCTTGTAACTTAACAGTCTTAGCCTTTGAAGAACTCATCTGTAGTGAGCCTGCTTGATTTTCCTGTAGGCCATGGCTGTGACCAATCTGTGTGCACTGCACTGTAATAAACTGTGGGATATTCTGCCACTGAGACCAGATGAGTGTAGGCTGGTGGAGAAGGAAAAAGAGATCCAAGGTATGAAGAGAATGAACAGGGTCTCAGCAAACTCATGGGGGATTTAGGAACTGAGAATAGTGTGTGCAAAGGTGCTGGGGAACAGGAAATGACATGTGAACTCTTGACATCAAGAGCTGAAATGGTTGGAAGTAAGAGCTAATGTCAGACAATGAGTACAAAAAGCATGAATAAATTAGTAACTTAAGCCCAGAATTTGCATAGTGTGTGCTACATACCATGAGTGCCACTCTAGAAGGCGAACAAAGACAAAATACTGATGAGTGCCTCATTAGGAGAACACTGTGCTTTTCATTCAGTTAATGAGGAAGAGGAGCTATGGAATTAATAATACATAGTCAAATATTTAAATTCTCTATCATAGCACGTACTTTCCTGATTTTTGTTTTGCATAGCTTTCTATATCTGACTTTGCAACAGGAGTGTTCCTTCTGTATTTGCATGTGATAAATATGGTCTCCTACTTTGTTTAATGCTAGACAAATAAATAGAGATGTTTACTTTATGGTAATGTTTTGGTCCTATCTGTTTTATACCTTAGTAACATTTTAAAAATAAGTGTCTATTAAAATTGCAGCAATGCACATGTACAGATTATAAAATGCTACAAAGAGGATAAACGTTTGACTTGATATTATTGCTGAATGATGAATGAGGTCTTACATGAGTTTCTCGTACTTTACCACTTAGTGACTGTATCTGTCTTCACTTAGCATTTATGTTGCTGTTTTGCCATGTCTGTAACTTCTCATCTGACTTCCAGTCTTCAACTTTCTGCTTATCTCTTTCTTCCTTTCATTTAATGGGCAGACCTGAAGAGCATATGCTCTGAATTGTCTTTCTGCTCTGTATTGTACAGTGCCTGTGGGAATACAGAGTTGTAAGATGGTAATAATATTCAGATATCACTGTGATTGACAGGCAGACCTTTATCCATTGGGCCACTTTAACACAAGAATAATGCATTTGATGTACTGAATTATGGAACTCCTTTATATGCATTTTGTTTTGTGATGTAAACAGTCATACAAAAGTTCTTTGTTAAAGATTTTGCTCTCTTTACTTGGAGGACAGTCCTATGTAAGGCTTTATTTTACTGCAGGGTTTATGAGATGCTTTGGCTCAGGACAGTGTGGCTTTATACTACTTCAGTGTTATTTTGTTGCTGTATATTTTGTGACTTACAAACTATATATTATTGAAATTTTTACTAAAGCAATAACTTCTTTCTTTAATAGGAAATGGACCTTCAGGAATTTGTCTTTCTTACCTGCTCTCTGGATACAGGCCATATTTGTCTCCTGAAGCTATACACCCAAACCCCATTCTACATACGAAATTAGAAGAAGCTCGACATCTTTCCATTGTTGATCAAGTAAGCCTTGGTTGCCATCTTATCTGGCTCTTTTCCTACTGCAAGCAGGGTTATGAAACAGTGGGCTTTCTTTAATGACCCTGTTTAAAATGCTTTTGCAGCTTTATTAAGTAGTGCCATAGACAAGAAAAGGCTTAATATTCTCACTCCACAAAAAATTAGACCACAGTAAAGCTCAGTAACTGTGTGGCCTCAAAAAACTTTTATCTCTTGGCCTCTTTTTTTCCTACTTGTAAAATAACGAGCTGTATATACCTTCCTCAGTGGCTTGGAACAAATTACATGTAGAGAACTGCAGATGAAAAGAATGGATTATCCAAAAACATTCTGCAGATTGCATCATGAAGAATCAGCCTATTTACCTAGTCACATTTGTAATGCATTAGTAAGGTATTTTGTTATTCTGCTAATTGAAATAGAATCAACTCATGACTATTAGATCCAAACCTGTGGCGTGTGGGTGTTTTTTGGTGTTTTTTGGTTTTACAGTCTGCCCTTTGTTGTGTTTGTACTGCTTGACAGGAGTGTCTAAAGTTACCACTTGGTCAGTGAGCAGCTCATACAGGAATTCCACCTTTCATGTCCTAGGATGTTTGGGCACTGTCACCAAAGAACACGTGCTGCTAACACACTTCAGATATACATAGTTCAAATTAAAATCTTCCCAAATACTCCAATTCTCATTAAGATTTCAATTTTAGTAATATTAGAGACATATATCCTCTGTTAATACAATATATTTTTCCTTTAAGAACAGTATGCGTCCTTCAGTGTTTGTGTTGTACTAATAGTTGCTCTTGTTCTGTATTTTTTACCCTTGTATACATCCAGTTTTTCTGCCTGATTTGATAATAGTTAAATCTTCTCCAATGTTTTTCACTCCACTTGTCATATTATCATTGTTTTCTGCTCGTTTCACTCTACTCCTGATGGATACTGACAATGCTGTCACTAACTGTATTGACTCCTTTGTGACTAATTTATTTGAAATACAAACATGGATTTGTGTTTGTAGGGGGTAAGTAGGGATTTGTTTGGCTTTGGGTTTTGGAGGGTGTTTTTATTTCAGTGCTGTGCTGTTTGCATGTAATGTTTACATTAAGTCTCAAGGTCTTTTTTTTTGGCAGGAGAGTAAGTTGTCTAAGCTTTTGGCTACAGATGTTTCATGTACTTCATCCTCCCCTGACCCCCTGATATTTTGCCTAATTAGGAAGCTAAACTGTCCCATCTTTGTCAGCAAAAATTGGCCTTATGGCCAATTCTTCCTTCAAATCTCTATTATCTCTCCAAATATTTGCTATTGCATCATTGATTTTTTAGAACATGGATTGTTAATAGATACTGAAATGTGAACATTTTATAAAGTTCTAGAATTTTTTCTCAATATTGCCTGCTTCGTAAAATAATCCTAATTTTAATGTTTAAAAATAATATTATAATATCTCAATTATTTTAAGATATAGTAAAGTTAGTGTTGGAACTAGCTAAGAGCTGTCAAAGGAGCTTTTCTACTTGATGTTTAAAACTTAATGGTTTTAGATTCCAATTTTGCTTGATCAGAATGGGGCTCCTACAAATATTAGCAATTCTTTGTTAAAAGTAGTCTGGTATATATATATATATATGTGTGTATATATATATAGTATATATATATATATATATATATTACTAAGTTGCTCTGATCTCTTAATGTTTGTCCATTGCTTCTTGTTCTACAAAGAATTTCAAACACTTACTTGCCCAAGTATTAATGGTTTATTAATATGTAATTTTTAAATGAGTGAAATGTATTATTCAGAGTTACAGAAGAACTGAATAATAGGAGTTATTCCTGAAAAGTGTTTTGATTGAACCTCTACATTCAATACTTATCTCTACTTAAAATGCAACTTGGATTAATTGTGCTTTCTGTTTCAATTCAACTTCTGTATGCCAGAACAGCATGATGAAGAGTAGAAGTTGCATGAGCATGTCACATTTTTTTCATACTTCAGGACCTGGAGTACCTGTCAGAAGGCCTCGAAGGGCGCTCTTCCAACCCGGTTGCAGTGCTTTTTGATACGTTGCTTCATCCCGATGCTGACTTTGGGTATGACTACCCACCTGTTCTGCACTGGAAGCTGGAACAACATAATTATATTCCCCATATAGTGCTTGGTAAAGGACCACCTGGTGGGGCTTGGCATGTGAGTGAAAATTTCATATCACTTCTGGGGTAACTTGATAACTTTGTGGTTTGGGATTTTTTTTACTGTCTAATTTATTTTATTTTTTTTTTTTTACTTTCTATTTTTTTTACTATCTTTTACTCTCTGTTTTTGATGGTAATACCAGTTGTAGTTTCAACTGCTTGTTTACCCAAGCCCAAATATGTTGCAGAAATAAGAAAGGAAGGAAAAAATTGTCCTTTATTTGGGCATATGACTGCTGTCTTATATTATTATGGTTTTTTACTAGTTTAAATTTATTGAATTATAAAATTGTAATAAAGAATATTTTCTCTAACCTTTATTCTCTTGTCTGCATTGTTCCCAGATGATTTTATATAAAATCTTGATGTCTTTATATGTTTCTGGTTTCATGTTTTTCTTCCTCTTTTGTATTTTAATTAACTTGCTTTTAGTTTCCCTTTCACATGCTGTCTCTTTCCTTTCTTCTCTATTAGCTCATGTAGTTGCTCATTCAAACAGTATGTAACTGTAACACAGAAGTAGTTCATCAGTGCTTCATGTAATGTCCTGGTCTTCTGTTGTGTTCTAGTATTTTATTGCTCTAAATGTGTGTACAGTGAGAAGAACTTTTTTGTTTTTTACATAAATGTATGCATTTGAAATGTGTCTGATCATGCATCTTCATTTTTTCACTACAGTCCATGGAGGGCTCTATGCTAACCATCAGTTTTGGAGACTGGATGGAATTGCCTGGCCTCAGCTTTAAGGAGTGGGCAGCTAGCAAACGCAGGTAGGGATATTGCTTAATTTGTTTGGGAATCCTAGTTGCTATAAAAATCCTGATAACATTATTTGAAGAACTGGAAAACATTCAAACTTCACTGTTCACAGGAGGGCTTCTTGTTTTGTTTGTTAAATTGCCTGATGGCACTGGAAATTCTTTTGGTGGTGTGTACTCTGATGGAAAAAAAATGGACAATGGTCAGGCAGAGTAATTGCTTGTGAGTGCACCGAAAGCATACATACTAGCAGCATTTCACAAAGAGGCACTGTTACTGAAAGCAGTTCTATCAGAGTTGAGGGAAGATGAAGGAAGGAATTTCAAATCTACAGAAGTGTTGCAAGTTCCTCTTTCAACACAGATGCAACAAGTTGCTATGGACACTGGCTTTCTGGTAATTCAGGAAATTGTACATTTCAGTATTTGCTTTTACGGACAAAGCTGAACAACATCTGAAAAGTTGTTATGTATGAATTTTAATTTTAAGAGCATAATTCAGTATTTCACAATGTTATTTTCTGGTAGTAAGTTTCTTGAAAAAAATGAGAAGAAAATTTACTTCAGTTATACAATTAGTTCATAAATGTCTGTGTCAGCAAATGAACCTAGGAACACTCTACATAAGCTTTTTCTAAAATTTTAATTTTTCTGACTTTGTTCTATCAAAATGAAAGAAATTTTCCTAGTATTGTGTATGGGAAAAGAAGTAGAATTACTTAGGCATATGTCTTTAAGGGCAGACTTACTCATTTCAGGACACCACTTACAGTGAGGAAACTGTACCTTTGTTCTTTAATTGTTTTCTTAGATAACCAAGTAATCTTGCTTCCTTACTAACTGAAATCCCATAAGCTGCTTATTATCAGAAGCTAATTTGTTTATTTTATAGTTTTTGACAGTGCTAAAACCAGAAATGCTGACCTGTTATACTACAATTAAACAAACATATTTAAAAGAATTGATGCTAGTGAAAATTTCTAGTCATGTAGTTTCCTAAGTTTCTTTGTAGGAGGTGTCACACTGTCATATTATATCCTCTTCAATAAATACCTCATGAGGATTTTCACAGTAGTAACCTGAGCATTTAAAAGTACATATGCTATTATCCTGTTAGACTATGAGAATGAGTACTTATTTATAAGATTTTAAGTGTAATTCAGTGTCAATCCTGATGCTCACTGTTGTTTATTTTGCCTTCTTCCTAGAGCTTACTTCTAAAGAAGCATCAAAATTCATGCACTTGTTCCAAATAATTATACTGTCAGCTTATTTTTTTATAAATGAGAATGCAATAAACATGAAAAAAGCATAGATGTAATACCAAGATTACAGTGCAAAAATGTTTTTAATTGGACACTTCAACATCACAATCCTGTTTGTATTGTTGCAGTAACACTCTGAGCCATACTTGCTTTATGCATTCATGTGATATGGAACTACTTCATTTGATACTTAGTGAACTTAGCAAAGGAGAGGTCTTTTGCAAACTATAATGAAAAATACCTGGCTCAAGTAAGGTATTGAACGTAGAGTTTCAAAATTAGCACTTAACTATGATATTTTACTAATTACATCCTAAGTAAGTGTATTCTCACCGAGCACAGGTTTAGTCAGTATTGTATTGTTGATAGTTGTGATGTTAAACTGTCTTTATAAAACACTTCCATATGGAGCTACAGATTTATAAAACATTTCCATATGATGCTGCAGAGCTTTGTTATACCTGATTTGTTAATCACCATAGCACTTTACATTGTATAAAGACTTTTAATGATATAAAACCCCACTACCTTATATTGTGCAACAGGAATCAAGAGAACAAATAAATCAAATGCATTTAAAGATACTGAACTCAGTGTCAGTTACACTGACAGATTTAATCCTCGTAAATTTGACTTGTCTTGTGGCATGTCATATGTGATATTCAGATTACCAGTAAGGTCTGTGTATTAACTGGAACGATTCAATTTTGTTTCAGAAATATAAAGAGTGATCGAGTAATGCCAGAGGAAATAGCTTGTTATTATAAACACTATGTTAAAGTCATGGGCCTCCAAAAGAATTTCAGAGACAACGTTTACATAACATCAGTGTCCAGACTTTACCGAGGAAAGGATGATGAAGATAGAAGTCAGCAAAATGAAGATATTTCAACACAGCATTTGGAAATGGAAGATGGACAGAAATCACTTATTAAGAGAAACTGGGAAGTCAGAGGTTATCAGCGAGCAACAGATGGTTCTCATGTGCCCTTCTGCCTCTTTGCTGAGAATGTGGCTCTTGCCACAGGAACCTTTGATTCTCCTGGCCGATTACAAGTTGAAGGAGAAGACTTTCCTTTTGTCCTCCATTCCATGTCTGACTTCGGAGCTGCAATCAGCAAAGGAAAGTTACGTGGGAAGGCAGACCCTGTGTTAATTGTGGGTGCTGGACTTACAGCAGCTGATGCAGTACTCTGTGCCTGTAACAACAACATCCCAGTAATCCACGTGTTTCGTAGAAGAGTTACCGATACAAGCCTAATTTTCAAACAGTTACCTAAAAAGCTTTACCCTGAATACCATAAGGTGTATCATATGATGTGTACTCAGTCCCATACTGTGGACTCTAATCAACATTCTGCTTACACTAGTTTCCCTGAACACAACGTACTTTCCTTCAAGCCTGAAATGAAATGTGTTCTTCAGAGTGCCTCTGGACTGAAGAAAATTTTGAAGTTTTCTGTAGCCTTAGTTCTGATAGGTTCTCACCCAAATCTTTTCTTTCTAAAGGACCAAGGACATAGCATAGGTCGTCACTCTAATCAGCCCATCACATGCAAGGGGAATCCTATAGAGATTGATCCATACACTTATGAATGCACTAAAGAAGCCAACCTCTTTGCTCTAGGTCCTCTGGTGGGAGACAACTTTGTACGGTTTTTAAAAGGAGGTGCACTGGGCATTGCACGATGCCTGGCAATAAGACAAAAGAAGAAACATGAATTGATTGAAAGTGGGGATGGAGGAGGTGATGGGGTACCATAAATGAGACATTAGAAATTTTCACATCCAGGATTACAGGTGTAGTCTAACAGAACAGTCACTGGCAGCGAAAGTTGATAGCAGTCACATTTCTGTCGTGTACAAGTAACCTGTGCTTGTATTGCTTGGTAAAAGGATGCTGATACTACAATACTTCACCCTTTCAAAATAGAAAAACTTGATCTGCTATTTCAACTTATTTCAACTGGAATTACTTCCAGATAAACAGAAAATGAGACTAGACTAACTTATATTGACCTGCCTGTCATCTCCTGCTCAGCTACAAGAGCAGATTTCCTTGGGAAAAGCCATGCCTACCAGAGTGGCTTTATATTTTAGTGTCCAATGTGACAAAAGCACTCTTACCATGAAATTAAAGTAACTTGTAAAAGCAGAAAGCTTGCTTAGTACAAGGTGATTCTTGGTCCCAAAGCAAATTTGGAGCGTTCTGCTCGAAACAAGGATTCTATTTATTTGCTACAGTAATACTTGGAATGAGCACTTAGTAAAATGGTTTCTATTGTAAGAACGCTTTCTGTAAGCAAGTATTCCTCAATAGTTTTAAGTTATCCTGATAATTGGAATAAAAGAATAAGCATTCCCATTCAATCTTTAACAATGATTTGACACAATCCATTAATGTTTCTTCACACTATGCCTAGAGTTGGTGAGTGCACAAAGAGTACCATGACATGTTCCCCTACAGTGATATGTACATTTCTGAGAATACACATTAACATAAACAGTAATAAAGTACTGATGTAAGTGCTCTTATTACAGTGTCAATATAGTGAATATCTAGTATACTATCAAGAGTTAAGTACATGAGAAAACTAAAGATTTTTTTGCTTCCTAGCTCAGGAAGACCGAAGGGGATCACTTGGCTGATGAAGGTGGGCTGGGTGATAGATATTCTCATCTCCTGTTTGACCAAGGATTGTTTTTTTCTCTTTCTTTTTTTATAAAGCAGCACATAATTGTAAAATACTTTATCCTGCAGTTTTTGAAACTTAAAAAAGGGTCATTATCTCACAGCCAGCGAAAAAATAAACCAAACTCAAAACAAACGTGCCATAGTTTCTTTAAATCTTAGAGCTTGTCATGAAAGAAAAAGGCAACTTGCACCTACCTCTGAATCCAAGTTTCACCCTTCTGCTCCATTATGTAAGACCTAGATTTCATTTGCTGGGTTTTAGAGTATTTAGTTTATCTAAACACACTCAACCATAGTGAGGTTAATCAACAGCTAGTTAGAAAAGTGAACTTCCAGAACTCTCAATAGACAAAAGTGCTTGGGTTCAACTGATTTATTACTAAACGTTTTAATTCAGGTCCAGTGTGATGGAATAGATGTTTTTTTGTTTGGAGCTTTTTTTGTGTTAAAGAATGTCATGTTAGTTTAAGGTATTGTGTTTGCATGATTTCATATTAGAGCCTAGACAGATTTAAGAAAGGAAATAAGGCTTAGGCTTTGTGAAACTGCTAGTGCTTGCTGGTTTCCCAGCTGTCTTAACTTTCATAAGTTATATATACCTGTATTCAATTCATGCCTGCTTTCTGTGCCTGCTGAATTACAGGGTTCTGTGGCTACTACAGGCCCTTACGCATCTGAGTAAGTTACTCAGACTTTGGACATAGAAATCGAAGGTACAATATGTAAGGATGAAAATTACTTACTTTCAGTGAAGTCCAAAGCAATTTATGACATGGTACTACTAATAATAATTTAAGAGCCACTTAATAGCATTAAAATAAACACAAACAAAGGAACATTTCCATCAATTTCTGCATTGCCCACATGGTTGGCTTTAATCATACATTGTCGATACTAGTTATGAAATTTTTTTTTACTGATATTTGAGCTGGTTTTAATTATGCTAAATTCTAGGCTTAATCAATTACTCAATTCTAGGCTTATCTCAAGTCAATTGAGATTCTATAATTTGCCTTCTTTGGCAGAAACTGTATATATAGAAACCTATTCTAAACCTGTGATATCTAATAATTTTAACTGAGAATTGGTTACAAGTGCAAAGTACTTGATTATAGAACTTATTGGGACTACACCTGCACTGTGATTAAATTCCTTCAGTTTTGTGTCAATATAAATACCCAAATACAACATACTGTGACATTACTGCTTTTTCATTTGTCGTGAGACGTGTAAAATGCCAGCAAAACAAAGGAAGAATTTACTTAAAGAATTATTTTGCAAAAAGGGGAAGAAAGCTTCAAACAGCTGGATTTCTAGCTGCAGCTGCGAACAAGCTGTGTGTGTTGTAGTGGCAAATTTGTAGCAGAGATCTGTGACCTGTGACTTATTATTACAGATTACTATCTTTCACTGCAGTCTTATGGCACCTTGAGGTTTAATTGCCTTTTTCTTTTTATCAATCTTAGTATTTTTGAGATAAAAAGTTGCATGTGAGACTGCTTAGGTGGACAGAGAAATTTTCTCAGTGTTAATGTTTATTAAGCCGTTATAAAGGTACTTTTTTCAACCAAAGCTTTACCAAAAGATCATCCTCTTTCTTCTAGGAATTGCTAGATTTAAAATTGTAGCCAGACTTTCTCACTTTCGTATTTCTTATTTTGAGAAAAATTTGTGTCTCTCTCCTCTTTGGTATTTTGAGGGACTAAGAGATACAAAAATTCAAGCTTTGCCTTAAGATAATTTTACCTAAAGCGCTGCATTTATTGTGAATTAGATGTTGGCACTGAGTTGTTGTCTTTTGGGGAAACACCTTGTTTCTCCGATTTAAAAAAAACACCACAAAGATTTGAACTTCTGTGTTTTAATAGTTCCCAGAAGGGAGATTGCTTCTTTCGGCTCTTCTTTCGGTGAGAAAGATAAGCTTTTAAACATCCTGGATTTTAAAAGGATGCTTCCTACTTAAGCTTTATTAATAAAATACAGACAGGAAGAATATAATTTAATTTGAATTTAGAGAATTTGTGAAGCTGTCTTAACCCATACTGTGTATTTGATAGTAGGTTAGTGGAAAATCATCTCTTGTATTTGGATTTGGTTCTTAATGCTGTGACTGTGTTTGAGAGTTAAATTATTGCTAAGATTATTTTAAGTAGTATCCAGCTGTTGAACTGGGACTAAGATTTGCCATAGTAGATTTCCTTAACAGTCTTCGTCCTTTCTGGTGCCTCTTTTGATTGAATTCTGCTTAAAACATTTTCCAGAAAGGAGTAAAGCTAAGTTTAACTCGGATGAGTAAAGGCGGAAATCCTTTTTGCAAGTAATCCAGAGAGTGGTGACAATAACACCAGAATTTTTCTCTCAGGAAAATGCATTGCTTTGGACTAGCAGCCTGGGCTTGCCAGTGAATGCATGGAATGTGTATGGCTGTACACCGAGTAAGGGTGTACATCCAAAGTGCATCCCACAGCTCTGGGTCCCTAGTCGGTCCCTAGTCCTCAGCACTTCTGTTGGAGGAGGTGGCTGTAACTTCTTTCTCTCGCAGCTCAAGAACTGTGAAAAGGTTAGAGCTAGAAATGCAGAGTACTTACTCAAAGCTGGAGGATTAAGACCCAAACTTAAGAGGTAAGCCCGAGCTGCATATCCAGTTGAAAGAAAAGGCCATTTTTAGGCCAACTGCTCTTGAGAAAGAATGAAAGGGTGTAAAATTTGCAAACTGCCAGTGAGTATTCACTGATGACGAGAATGACGAGTGAGGAATGATGGGAGGAAAGCTGCAAAAAACCTGTGAAATCTGAACTGCAGACGTAGGGGTGCTGAAGTGTGTCCACACAGCTTTGACAGGCTGGTGGTGTCCCATCTATTTGGGTCAGGATCTGTGTACTGTGACTGCGGAGCTCTGCACCGCAGCTGGTCATCCTACATGTTGCCATATGTGTTTAACTGGCTATTAACTGAGGTGCACTGAAATGCAACATACAGACCAGAAGCAATTGTATCTGCTCACTGAGCTGTAGGACTGATCAGTAAGGTGGTGTGCCAAGAGATAAGGCTTTGTTGCTCTGCTACCGTATTTTCTACCCTCTGAGAAAGCAAGCAGGTATCTTCATGTAATAACAGGATCTGGGGCTGTACAGTGCTCCCAGACATTTCTAAACAGCAAGAGGTAATACACATATGCCTTAAACTCGATTTCGTTATTGTCCGTGTAGTAATGATTAATTCTAAGTAAGTTATGGAACAAAAAAATGGAACAAAAAAAGGTTTATACTGTTATATTTTAATTTAGAGTATATTTTAGAGTCTTACAATAACAATGTTCTGTCATCATTTTCCATTCTGATTTTAAGGTGAGAGCAAGTTGGGAGCACTCAACTGATGTGAGAGCTCTTTGTACTTCCACCATTTCCCCTTGCCCAACCTGAAAAAAAAGTCATGTTTTGTTTGAAATAACCATAATAGTTGATTCTGTTTAGCAGAAACAATGGAAATTAAAACATCTTTGACAGAGAAAGGAAGGTTTTGGTGGCATTAGGGGTAAAAATTTGAAGTGAGAATGTTGAATTATAAACAGCTCTTTTTCTGCAAAAGAGTGTATTTTGGGGAATATGTTACACTTAGGTGTTTCACTTAATTTCTGAAGCCTGAATTACACAGGGAATTGTGCAGTCAAGGATGAATTTGGTGTAAGGAACAAGGATTATGGGGAGAAAATAATTTATAGTATAATTTAGTCACAGTGAAGCTAAGCACTGTTGTAGAGATAGCTTTGTCTTTGTAGACACTGGAACATTTAATCTCAAGCAAACCTTGAACTTGAGTTCACATTATACCTGTCTGCATATTAGCTCATTTAATAATGAATTATTTTGTATTTTCAGGGCATAATAAGCCAACTCTTAAAACTTAGTGGTCCTCAGTAGTCATCAAAACCAGGAAATTATTGTTCTGGAGACTAAATTATTCTAATTTGCACTTTCCTCTCCCATCTCTTTATTCTGAGATCACTGACAATGTGTAAGTACCAGCCTATGCTGCCTACAGTGGATGCTTCAATAAAGTAAAATTCAGCTTCATGTTTCTGGACACCCTCTCCAGACTTACATGCCAGCATAAAGAAAATTAAAAGCTAGGTTTGGTATATATTCACAGAATATTACAGCATCCTGGCATTTTTAGGTTCTTTTTTAACTAGGTATATCAAGAAAAAAAATAGTTGTCCACAAAGACTAAGCTAGAGACAAGATGAAAGAGGTTTGATACAGTTCCAAGGGATACTCTGAGGAGAGGGAAATGGTTCATTTTTCACCGGTCTGGATGCTAGACCAGCTTCTATGTGAACATCAAGTTATTGCTGTTCATGAACTGATCCTGCTACCTTACATCTCCCTGGCACAATTTACAAAGTTAATACCCTGATCTTGCCTGTTTCTCTGTTAGTCCTGGTATAGTGGTTGTGGAATTCCAGTTCTAAATTAGATAAACGCTTATATTCATTTACCTATATGCATGTTCACAGACAACACATCTGAGCTTGGAAATACTATGTAAAGTCACTTCTGTGTGTGTCAGTGCTTCAGTTTTCTGCTTTTGCTGGAGTATGCTTGGGTTATACTATTTTATTTTTTTCTAAGATGAGCAATGTAAATGTGTACAGAACTTTTGCTGTCAGCAGCAGGCAACTTGTGAGCAAAATCTGAGCTTTGATTAGACAACAAACATTCCTGAGGTTTGCATGCCAAGCTTGTTTTATCTTCATGTGTGAAAACTGATGGTGGACTGAACGTGCAAAATATTAAAACAGTTTCACCTAGAAGTCAATTATTTTGGTTTTGAGAAGTGGGGAACTAGTAAGTCAAAGGAAAGAACAAACTGGGGAGGAAGAGGCATTCAGAAAGCTGCAGTGTTCAGGAAGAGGGAGAAGGCATTGGTTTGCATGGACCTGCTGCTGTAGCCAGTGACAGAGATTCCAGCAGTCAAGGTTGTGGCAGAGTGGTATGGGCAGAGAGCTACGGGCAGAGAGCTACAGGAAGTGGCAGGGAAGGTTGCTAGTTAGGGAGATCTGATATTGTGTAGCATTTTTTGTAACTATCTCACTGGAATGTGGTGATGGCTGTCAAAGATTTTAAGAGGAAGAGGAGGAATAATGGTAAGGAATATGGTTCATGTTTTACCACACTTGGCTTGAGTTCTAAGGAGACACCAGAACAACCAGAACACAATCGGAATTTGTGAATGAAACACCAGGTGGGGCCAAATGTGACTAAGGATCAATACAAGAAATGGAACAGAGCAGGTGAAGAAGGTGAAAAACTCCCTCCAGTTTTATGAGAGAGGGAGAAAAACAGGAAAAATAAGGACTGAGAAATCACTTGTATAATATGGACTGGAGAGAGAGGTGGGAGAGGGTTGGAGGTAGGTCTGTAGCAGAAGCTTCAGCTACTGTCTCAGGAATTAACATGTGGAATAAAGCCTCTCAGACAC